CCCTACAGGAGGATATTATTAAGATGCAGTATTGAATGTTTATTTCCAAAAATAAACAGTGAAAAGCAAATTGAACAGTGAACAAAAAAAAAAGCAAAAAGGAAAACTATCATATTGAACCCATTTCAACAATCCACAACACAGGTGCTACAAACTTGTTCCAGTTATGGCGAAAGAAGCTCTGAATAATGACCTAGCCAGAAGCGGTCTTTTTCTGCTGGAAAATGACAGCATAGACAGGTACAATTATTCCAATGCTGAAGGCAGTGAACACAGCAAGAGGCATTTTGATTTTCTGATACTTCATCCGGTCCAAATTGTACATGTGCTTCGCATGAAGATAGTATGGTTCATCATGGCCATGTGCATGACCTCCTCCCATCCTCTTCACCCCTGTTGAGTGGATACCTCTATTCACTGTCACAAGACACGACCAATTATTTCTTCTGTTAATTCAGTCCTAGTGCCATAAGAATAATCCTGACATAAACCAGCCACAAATAGGCTGGAAGAAAAAGCAGTTGAGGAAGAATAAAGTTCTGAATAAGCCTCTTTCAACATTTCAAAATGACTTTGGGGGAGAGAGGGAGAGAGGAAGGAAAATGGGAGTAGACAAGATGCATTATTTTTTTTCAAAACAAGTGCCTGCCTTGAGAAATTAACTTATGTGAAAGAACTAATGTGAACAAGATGTTTACCAGAATTTATAATCATATTCAAGACTATCTAAAAGAAAGTTCAGCAAGTCCAATCTAAAGAGGGAGACGTGGTCAATAACTGCATGGACACTTGAAAGTATTACAACTCAATCATGTCTTCCAGCACTCTTCCATGGAGATTATCAAAACTATTAAGAAAACATAACAGACCAGAAGGACACCAGAGTGTTATCTGCTGTTGTACATGGCTGTAAACCGACATGGCATCCAATTCTCCCACTTAACCAATCTCTATCAGAAAAAAAGAGAAGAGTAACAAGAGGTGGGGGTGATAAAAACTAGTTGGCAAGGGAAGGAATTGTGGATGCAGCACCTCCACTTCACTGATAAAAGGTATTATGCTCACTAAATCTGCCTTTCCAGCAAAATGAATCCAACAGATCATCTCTTCACATCTGGCAACGATCCATTTCTAACTCATCTTTGCATGAAACCACAACATGAAGTTTATCTAAAACCTCATAGTTCACACATCCATCAACAGCATCTGCAATCCCATGCAATCTTAAGCTGGGATGACATAGGATTAGATAGAATTGGCAATAGCAAAGCTGTTTTCTAGATAGGTTTGGTCGCAAGACTTAAATGCAATATAATGGATTTAAATGTATTTCATTTATCAATTAAACACTAAAATACTTTGAATTTACTCAATCGTACTGAAAGCTGTAGCTTTCTTATTACATACCCCTGATAATTAAAAGACAAGGTCTTTTTTTCACAATAAAACAAGAGCAGAGTTTTTTTTTTAAAGGAAAAAAAAAAAAAAACAAAGATACCAAAGAGAGGATCTAAACCATCATTTTAATTTTTTTATTTTTATTTTTTTACATGAATTAATGTAAAAAGCTTACAAACTTTTAGCAAGACCAACCAAGGTTCCATAATAACATGCATCTATCATGCAACACGATTGTTAGTGTATATTTCACCCATATGATCATTATTATACTCTCTTACTAGTGGAGAAATAATACTCTTCATTGAAAGCAAAGCTATGTCCACGTGGGTAAGAAAAAGCATGCCAAATAGCTTGTCTTCATACAACAATAACCAAGCCTCGATCCCAGACAACAGCCGACTTCATAGAGGAAATATTACCTTACACTGGCTATTACATTTCATTGCAGACTAAAAAGATTCGAAACAGCTCAGTTATAATCCTAATAAAAGCGCAAGGACTCTTATCACAAGATATTGAACATTACCTAGTAATCAAAAAACAAGGCAAGAAACGAATAGCTAATCCAAGTTTGCAGGCACAATAATACGCTTCAGCTGTAAATTTTAGTCTTTTCCATGATGTATAAACAATACCCAGTAAACATTAACCCTCTCACAAATTATAAAACAAAACCCAGAAACCAGTCATATACATGAAAACATCATAAAACCTAGTATCAGATCTAAAAAGAACATAACCCTCCATCTCTATCCTAAGAACAAAATCCCAGAACCAGTAAAATCCCAGTTACCCCCTCCCTCACTTTCTGATCAACCAAAACAGACCACAATAGATTTTATTTTTTTTTGGTTTTTTTGATAAATAATCGAAAGGCTTACTAATTAAGATCTTTGTGGTTGAAAAGAGAAGAGTTACTGACCTGACTTGGATAGAAGAGATTCGGAAGCAGTGAATAGCTTGGAGGCGGATCTAAGACCGTTGTTCAACGCCATCTCTTTGATGTTTTACTTGACAGAAATGGAACAAAAACTCTCTCTCACACACAATTTTGTTTTTCAGGTCTCTTCCACTGGCTGTTTGCATTAAAAAATTGAGTGACGATGGATCGGCTCTAGGGTTGTTGGTTTTTGGGCTGCCCTGGGCTCTTTCTTGGCCCAATTTCACTACCTTTCCTATTTTTTAAGGGATTTTTATTATTAACTCTGATATCAAATATGCACAGAAATACACCCTGCCAGATTACTAACACGGTCAACATTTTAGTTAAATAGCTAGTTACTGAAGTATTATATCTCTTCAAATAATAACAAAAGTTTTAAATTCAAATAATAACAAAAGTTTTTAATTTATTTTGAGGTATTATACAAGGAAAGAAGAAACTTGAAAAATAAAGAATTAAAAAAATGATTTTTTTTATTTAAGATACTATTTATTTTAGCTTTTATCCCTTAAGTTTCTACCTTAAAACATCATACACAATCTTTATTAAATTACTTTAAGGATTTTACTTATATCATTCATTATATCATCAAACACTAATTAAAGCACGGAGTTAGTTGCACACATCATTAAAAATTAGTGGAATGATTGACATATTGATGAGGACTTTATATGTGTTAATAATTTTTTTAATTATATAAAAAAAAAATACTCTGAAGATCAATTAACAATTACAACACGTACCATAAAAAAATTACTACAAAGCCCCTGAATGCAAGGCTAAGAAATTGAAATGGCATGAGGGATGTAGTAATTTCACTGTTTGACCAAACATAAAAATATACAAAAAGCTTTAAATTATTTTATTTATAGTTGAAATTTATTATTTTACTATGTATTTACAAGTAAAATTATTAAAATAACCCAACTTAATTCTGAAAAAACATTTATATCCTATGAAAAAGACCCTTTTACGCTTGAATTAAATGTAAAAGAGAATAATTAAGGTGAAAGATAGTAATTACATTATTATTTATTTTTATATTTTAAAAATATTTTTAAAAAAACTAAAAAAATTTATTTTTTTATTTAAAATTAATATTATTTTGATATTTTTAGATATTTTAATATGTTGATATTAAAAATAATTTTTTTTAAATAAAAAATTATTATTTTAATATATTTTTTAATAAAAAA